GAAAAAGAAACTGTAGAAAGGGAGAATAAAGAGGACGAGAAAAAAAAATTATAATAATAATGATAATGATAAAAGAGATTAGACAGATTGATAACCTCAACATCAAAAAAAAATAAAAAAAATTATAAATCAATGAGAATGAGCAGAAAGGAAAAAAAAAATCATAGGAAACCTTGGATAGTTGCGCTGCACTTTTGGTGTGCTGATTTTCCTAGGGCTTTTGTCAAGACATCCGCTATCTGGTCCGTTCCGGGTATCCATGCAAGGCAGGTTTTTCCTTCGTGCAAAGCTTGATTTGTGACGTAGTATTCCCGTTCAATGTGATGAGTCCGTTTGTTCAATGCTTCTTTGCAACCAATCTTCACAGCAGATTGGTTGTCACACAGTATCTTGACTTTGAAATTGGATCCAATGATGTCGTAGAGCAAGTTTCTGATCCAGAGAGAATGTCTGGTAGCATGTCCTAGTGCCATGTATTCTGCTTGGCACGTGGAGCTTGCAACTGTAACCAGGTGTCTTGAAACCCACAGCACCATAAAGGCGAATCATAGCCCCATAGCTTGACCTTGAATTGGCTCCACCCCAATTCGCATCGCAGAAGCATTCCACAGGGGATCCATGGTTTTCTTGAGGGTGAATCTGAAAAGATTTGACTTTATTACTATAAACCAGAAACCAGAACTAAAGAAAAAAGAACCAAAGAGATCAGATCATTGAAAAGAAAGAAAGAGAAATATGAAACACAGAATGAGAAAGATGACAATGCATACCACTAATCAATGTAGATCAGAACAGAAGATGACTATCCGAGAGGCGAGGTAAGAATTTTAGAAGTGGTAGAAGTCTGAACAACAGGAATTGATTCATATCCTAATGTTGCTAGGGTTCCACTCAGATGCTTCCACCAGCATCTGGCTGCTTGCTTGGTTCCTTAGAGTGCCTTTTCTAACAGATACACTTCGCCATCTTCAACCCCGAGTCCCTCCAGAGCAGCCACCCATACTTCTTTGTCAATGGGGGCATTCAAATAGGCGGCCACAAAATCAAAATTGTACACAGGTCAATTATTCTTTGCTGCAATTGTGAGTAAGATCCTCATTGACGTGAAGGTAGCGGTTGGGGCAAAAGTGTGCGCGAAATCGGTTCCTTCCTTTTGGTTGTATCCTTTCGCAATGTATCCAGCTTTGAAATGGATGGATCCATTGTCGTTGATCTTCTTTGCAAAAACCCACCTTGCCCCTAACTTGCGACGATTCCCAGGCAGACGACGGACTTTCCATACAGATTTACGGCACAGGTTTTCCAACTCGGTGTCAATTGCCTTCTTCCACTCTGCTGCTTCTGGGGATCGCATTGCTGCTTTGAAAGATAAAGGTGTTGGTTTTTTATCCGAGCTACTCTCTAGCGAGAGGCTCATAACCTGTTAGAGTGTGAGCTCGAAAGAGATGATGATTTTCATTCCTAGAAGGAAAATCTTCCAACTTAAACTATCTACAAGTCTGTGACATGTGTCGCAGTCGAGACCTTGACCTATGTCACAACAGGGAGGGGGGTTGCAAAAATTGGGCTGCAGTTGCTGTGTTTGCAAATTTAGCAACACAATTGACCTCCCATAGTGGAGATGCTCTTAGTTTGTGGCTGCCCCGCTTTAAACAGTGTAACACGATCATTGGACAGAATCGACCAATAGTCGAACTGTTTGTAAGCGCCTCCGCCTTCACCCACCACCTTCATTTCACCACTCGCCACCTGTCGCCAGATCGAGCCCGACCGCAATCGTTGATCCGCCTTCACCCCGCCACACCACACAACCATGCGCCGGCTCATTGTCATTTTCCTCGCAGCGTGCCTCTTGCTTCAAGTGGCCGCCGCACCTGAGGTCGTCAGCATCAAGTGTTGGCAATGCCACAAGCGCACCACCGTGCACGAACGCTGCCAGACAGAACTTGCCTGCGGTCACATCTGCAACTTCATCAAGTCAACCAATTGCGAGGAGTGTAGGCACAACATCCCCACCGGACACGACCACGCCAGGCCGGTCAAGTGTACCTCATGCAGACCCAGCGGCAATGCCAGCACGGCCAATGCCTCTCCTTCCGTCTCCCGCTCTTCCTCCTCCCGATCATCCGCCAGCTCGGCCTCCGGGTATTCCATCAAGCGCTACACCGATGGCAGATGAGCTGTAGCACAAGCAACCATTGTATATAGTCCATCCCTCCTAACCATTGCCTTGACATACCCCACATGTGACGCTTGTAGAGGAAAGACTCCCTATACACACATGTAGCTACCGCATTTGCATACACACTTTCATCATCTCGCTCATTTTCTGATTACACTCTCACCAGCCAGTTAATTTTTGACATCGTTTTTTTGGCTGTTGTCAGGTCTGGGATGAAATCGACTGCACACTCTTCCGTTGGGGTTCATTGAAGTGTTACACTCTTGCAGGTTTCCGTTCGACTCAGTCCGGATGTATGTAAAGACGCGGGATGACGACCCGGCGGTTTATGTCGCTCTCGAGGTGGACATGCTTTGATGATGATGATGAGCCAACTGGATGGATGTAGTCTCTTCCGCCATAAAGTGGTGAGCGCCTTCTATGTACATCGGTATGTCCGAAATACACTCACCAATCGATGTTATATCTAGTTGATCACAACACATCTTTGTGAACAATTCTAAACTGTCCTTCCTGATTTTCTCTCGATATAATCTATTGGAAAAGAGTCTTTCATGTCAGGTTGATGAGTGGGATAAATGATCGAGCAAAAATTCTTAATTGGTGTTGCAATGGTTGGACGGGGGCCAGGAGAGATTCAGGTTCTACTGATGAAGAGAGATCTCCAAGTTTTCGGGAACGATCTGGATCCCAAACATCCCAGATAAAAAACCAACTCGGGTCCTTTCGACCATCCGATGACTACATACATCGATCGATTTGTGGACACTACATACATAGAAGATGCATCCTGAATGGAATTTGAATGGGTTTTGTTTGAGCGCTTGGATTCTTCAATGATTTCAACGAACTCTTATTACAATCTTTGCAATCCGTTTTTTAAATCTTGTCTGATAGAACAGCCAAGTTGGAAGAGTCCATGTATTTGATTCCATCAAGTTTAGTATGCAAGTCTCTCCCTGCGG